CCCACCCCCTTTCGTGCCTTTCTACGGCAGATCATGGCGTTGAAATCGATGGTCCCATCTCCAAAACATGTTTGTCAAGATCGTGGTGTAAAATCCGAACCGCTCAGACTCAGACCCTGATTCAAGATGTGTGTGTGTGTATGTGTGTGTGTGTGTATGTGTGTGTGTGTGTGTGTGTGTGTGTGTGTGTGTGTGTGTGTGTGTGTGAGAGAGAGAGAGAGAGAGAGAGAGTGAGAGAATGAGTGAGTGAGTCCATTTCCCCAAAAGACCTGTTTGGGGCCCATCCATCCATCCATCCATCCATCAGTTAACTCACATCGCATGCTGTGATTCATATCATTTCCAGGCTCCACAAAAGTCCAAAAAAGTAAGTGATCTCCGCTGCTCTGTGATGTATATCCGGTGGCGTTCTATCTATGTCTTGTCTGCTCGCCCTAACGATTTCGTCGCTTGCTGTGTGCCTGTTTCAGACTCACTTATAGTAGATTCAATACAGTCATGTTTTCAGATTGTGAGGGTCACACTCCTTATTTCAGACTGACTGACCCAGTGCCTGTTTCAGGCTAACAGACTCTTTAACCCTCTTTAACTAAACATATGTGCGCATTCTAGGCTAGGGCAGAGAGCTGTCTCACAGAGTTGTAGTTTTTTGTGTGTTTAAAAAAAATAGATTTTAGAGTTTGCTAGTTTTGATATGTGTGCCATTTTCTCTGAAATGTCTTGGCTGTCGTGGTAGTGTCTTAGTTGTTGTTGCATCATGCAATTGAAAAATGCTTTGGGACGCGTGGGGGGAGGGGGGTTGCACTTGGATTTTCGCTGTTTTGGGGTAGCCTACTTTACAAAAGAGAAACACAACTTCGTTATTCATGCAGATTTGTCCAATTTTGTTTTCTTTACCTGATCCTTAGCAAGGCTGGCAACAACATGCATACAATGAAATTTATATATTCAAATCTGCGTTTCTAATCTATGTATGTTGGTTCGAAATGTGCCACAACATTGCATGTGGTCCTGTGCTGGTCAGCCATTATGTGTCTTCAATATCCCTAAAAAGTTCAAAGTTTTGTATTGGGCGGAGGGGG